AAAAAATTTCCAAAATCACCGATACGGCCAGCCGGTTCTCAATTCTATAGTGCGAACTGTCAGTGTGGTCGAGTGTTTGAATGAACTTTAATAGAGTTACGCTTCAACATAATAACGAATTTATTTTATTTTATTTTTTTGGTTATTTAATGATTTCAGTTATAACGATGTGTAATCTTATAAAGCGTTTGATACGCGCGATATTTTTGAGTACTCCTGCAAGCGATGTTCATGAACGATGAAAACAAACGGCACGGACAAGCAATTAAAATTGCAAGAGAGACTACCAACAATTAATAAAAGAAATATAATTCGGTGAAACATTTACAGAGACAACAATTTTCATTCACGTAGACAAGTATTAAAGTGTCTCTAGAGTCTTTAAGCGTAAAGCTTAGGTTCATGTTTTAAGCCGGCTTTCCGGCGCGGTGTTTACTGTTTTCAAAGATGAACTCCTCGAAGCAAGAAAATCGCTCAAAGTTTTCTTTCTACAGCCAAATTTATATCTAAATATTTTTCGGAACGTCTTCTTTCTATTTGCAGTGAGAAAATATATCTGAAGGCTTCTTAAAGTTCTGTAAGCTTATATCAAACCCGATACTAGATCAGATCATTGACTCAAATCCCACAAACATGCATAAACTTGCCGCATAAACTGTGCTCGACTTCACGAAATTAGATATAACAAAAGCAAACATCAAATACAACAATAACTAAGGCTTACCATTCGAGATTCAGTTCCTGAAAGCTATCAAGGAAGGCCACAGTTGCTTGAGCCTTTTAAACCCTCTTACGCATTAAGCAAGGTGAAAATAAACTTGAGCCTGCGATCATGTGAAACTGGTAATTTATCAGCGGATAACTTCAAAAATACTCGACCTCAATGGGTCGACACTTGAGCCCGCGGTACGGTCAGGTGATACTGGTCAGCGGATACCCTGTTTTGACAGCTGTCAATTGATCACAACACTGATGTGCAATTAGTTTTCTCTTGGGCTCCCAAACTAGCTAGAAAGTGTGAGAGTAAACATTGGTTGCCCTGTGGTGCGGACGGAAGGTCGGTGGGCGGTCGATGTACGGTCACGGGGTTACCAAATTTTCTGGGATAGGTAGATTTACTAAGCTATGGGGCTCCGCTGAGGACCCGAGGGGATCCGTGGAGTTCCGGTATTAAGTTAAGCTATCCGTTATAAGTTATCAGCTGTAAGTTAAGCTGTACTCAAGCTATCCTTGAGTACACTATGTTCTGTGTGAACTAAATAAACTATACTTGGGTACGCAACACTGCATATGACCCATATCAGTCTTAAGCTAATCAATTCATATCCTATTCAGTTCAATTCAGTTCCTATTCGATATTTCAAGTTGCCGTAAGTGTGGTACACATATCTCCTCGTAATTCAAGTAATAAAGTCATTCAGGTATGCAAGTCGTCGCCTGGTCCTTTTCGGTCTACTGGGCCTTGTGGAACTACTGGATGGCACAGAAGTGTCTTGGACTGCCGGGCTTGGCATATCCACTTCCTGACAAATCCCTGCTCTTGTTCCTCCTTCCTGTTGACAGCTACCACTACCACTCTGTTCGGTGAGGTTCTCTTGCACTGGCTCTGCAGTTGTCTCTCTTCAGGTAGTTCCAGTAAATTCTCCTGCTCAACATCCATTTGGCAAATGGGTTGATCTTTCATGTCACCAGCACTCATCAAAATTGTCTCTCTGCATTCTTCACCCTGACCGCCCTCGTCTGCTTTCTCCTGGTACATCAGGACATTTGCAAGTTTGAACTGACTAGCATATCGCTGAACCTCTCGGCCGTCTGTAATACGTCTCGGAGTAATAGCAGATCCTCTGATTTCAATCACTCAACCACTTTGTCTTAACAGGACATGATCTCCCACAACAAAATTGTATTCTTTACTTCTTCCACCTTCATCTGCCATCTTCTGCTTGCACTGCCTGTCCTTCTCATCCATCATTTTATCTCTGCTGCTTCTCTCCTTCCGTGGCACTGTATAGTATGCCAGTCGCAGGGTGAGGAGTGTCTCTGTAAGCCATTAACATATCCTGGACAGCCATGTTTCTATCTGGTCCTGATTTTCCTTGCAGATGGGCAATTTGTTCTGTTTTGTTGAGGGTCTCCATAAATGTCTCCACCTGCCCATTAGCTCTAGGGTGAGTTGGCGTGACTCGATGATGTACAAATCCTTCTTCCTTTGCAAAATCCTTGAATTGCTCTGAAATGAACGGTGGTCCCTTGTCTGAAGTTACCCGTCTTGGAAGTCCAAGGTAAACAAAGGTCTCTTTCAGCTTTTCCTTAGTTTGCTTGAATCCAGTTGAAGACACAGCATCTATCACAGGATACCGGGTTCTCTGACCAATGGCCACTAAATTGTAATGGCTGTCGTGGTAAGATCCTCCCAAATCAATAGAGACCTGTTCCCATGGTTCTTCAGGAGTAACAGATGGCTTGATGGGCTCTTGTCTGTGACTCTTTGGTGCTACTTGACAGTCAAAACAGATTTCAATTGTTTCGTTGGTCAGGTGATTCATACCAGGGAACCAATATTTTTCACGGAGCATCTGCTTCGTTTTTGTCGTACCAAGGTGTCCAAATGTATGAGCTGACTTAATGATTTTCTGCTGTAGATTTGGTGGTAGAATAATTCTCTCATGCGAAAAATCATGCCTTGGGATTCATACAGCTCTTCTTTGACTTGGTAGAGGGGAGTCGAGTCTGCATCTCTTTTGCTGCTTTCCCATTTCCCTTTTCGGATGGTTTGACTCAACTTCCGCAGTACTCTATCTTGACTTGTTTCTTCTCTAATCCTGTCCAATACCACTACATTCTCTGTAGTAAACGCTACCTTCAATACCTTCTCTGTGTCATCATTTCCAGTGACTGGCAATGGGTGTCTCCATAAGAAATCTAATCTAATCTAATTTATCTCTCCCAGGTTCATACTTCATTTCAAAGTCTACATCTTGCATGTCCATAACCCACTTTTCAATGCGAGGGGGAAGCTTTACTGACGGTTTGCTGAACACTGGCAACAGTGGCTTGTGTGCCGTCACGATTGTAAACCTTAGAGCACCCTGAAGGTACATACCGAACCAATCTTTGGCCCACTTCACACACAACGCATCCTTTTCTGTCTGACTGTACCTTTTCTCCACATCAGACAGTGACCGACCAATGAAATGT